GAGCCGTAACCACCATAGGGATATCGCCTGCGGCACTGTCAGCAACTGTATCACGGTCGCAGCGAATGGGAGGGCATGCTCACCGCAGTCATCCGCGCAACGAAATCGGTGGCCAGTCCCTGGTGCCCTAGGGTTTCCGTCGTCTTGCATAGCTTGGTGGCGACCTGATGCTGGAGACCACAGGGATAAGTAGGTCAGGTACCTGAGGAGAACTAAGGTATGTAACAAAAACGCTCATTCAGCTGCGCATATAGACAAAAAGTTTTCAGAGGCAATAGGTTAAAGAATTGCCTCCCTTCTTTAGACAAGACGTTGTCCGCTTCTTTGTTCAAACCAGTTGATTATCAAATCCAGACCTAACTACCTACCTACCTTGAGCATCCAACAAGGCCTTTAATCACACACTTTGTCAAAAACCCACTGCCCACCTATACCGGGCACACCGAGGGCTCAGGAGATGATCAGTGGTCGAGGTGCTCATCACTTACACCACCACCAAGGTCATGGTCATGTAAGGAGGTATGTAAGAGGTCTCGTTCACGGGGCTATCCCTACCTCGCAACTCCTTTGCCACCACCTACGGCCGTACAAGCCAGCTTCAGATTCGACGCCCTCCCGCACAGCGCCCGAAGCCCCAGTGCAACGTCGATTCCCATTGATATGGCCCCGGGGAGTCGCGGGTAACCGCCATTATCCGCGCGTCGAGTCCCGTCCAGCGGTCCCGGCTTTGGCGTGACACGGGCTCCTGGGGCCTTGTGCACCCTTCGACCCCAGGTACGGGTACTCGACGGATCGAGGCGCTGTGGCCGTTATCCGGGTTGTGCAGTTCCCATTGCCGCCGTTCGGAGGAAGCCGGCAGATTTCGGTATTTGACCCGCGCCACTACAGATCATGTCGCAGATCTCAAGCCATTCTGTCTGTCTATCATCTACCTACCTACCTACCTACCTACCTACCTACTTACCTACCTATCTACCTTGGGTGTCAATCGTGGCCAGAAACACAATGATGGTCGTGCACATACATCCTAGATGAGCCTGCATATAAGAGGTGGGACAAAAACAGGTGCAGAGTGTGCTAGTAACTATCGACACTCGAGATCATGCATGGCTATAGTGTTGTGGTCGCAGATCTGGCAGCCTCAGTCCGTTCCCAACCCCAGCAGCCGACCGGCCCAGCATAGAGGCCATCTTGGGTCCGGGTCAGGGTTGGAACGGAGGTACCTTAACCTCCTTGGACAGGTAGGTACGGTAGGTTTCCTTCCAGCGCTCTTGTTATCACGGTCAACGGAACGGCCGTATACTCGCCTTGGAGCGCTCGCTTTCCCAAGGCTGTTGCACAATCAACAACGGCATAGACAGGCGTTCCTAGCTTCTTGCCTTCTACTTGAAAAACGTGCCTGGGTCAAGCTCTGATAATTCTAGGTGCGTGGTTCCATGTACCACTCTGTGCCATGCGTTTGCGTGGAACAAAGCTGGCAGTCTCCTCCGAGGTCTGCTAACCGCTGAGTCTGCTCGCAGGTAGGTAAGGTAGGTATGCTCATATTGCCCCAGCATCGCAATCATGTCATTACCATCTGCGAGCAGCCGGCAGTTCACATCATCTCGGTCTATCCCTCGATCCTGCAGCAATGCGACAAGGTCAATATGGAGCTGGGTCACAGCTGCTCCTTGTACCATGTGTAGCCTTACGCCCGTATGGCACAAGTGACAAAATGTTGAACAAGAGATGGCGAGAGCATGGCCCGGCATCTTCCACTCTGAGCATCAGGCAGGGGCGGCGGCGATCTGGATTCTCATTTCCGGCGGCTGGGTCCTATTCGCGGCGCTGGAAACCCGCTGTATCTGGCCCTTCTCAATGGCGGTGAGGTCCTTGATGATACGATACCTACCTACCTACCTACCTACCTACCTACCTTACGACAAGGCGGTACACGCACGAGAACTTTTGTCACCCTACCGGCGACAGCTACCCGACCAGCGAAAAGAAAAGCCCAGCGGTTATCTGCTGGGCAGTCCGGACCAGAGCAGAAGGTGAAACACAGTGTTGATTTCGGATGCAACGCCCCGAGCCAGAGCCTGGTCGGCTGCCAGATCTTAGACATCCCATAGTGAGGTGGGGCAGGGAAGAGGGCGTGTCTCTTGTTGTTGGAGACACGTTTTTCGGATTTTTCAGACGAGGCCGATAGCGCCTTGCTTCGACGACATCTCAAACTGAGCTGCTCTGGGTGGAAAAGCCGTTGAGATGACGGCATCCTGCTCTGAGCCAGTGCTTATTTAGTAGCATTCCTGGCCGGCCTCCACCCCGTGCTCCTCAAGATTTCCTCCCATGATATAAGCCCCCCTCTTCCGGTTGCCTCTGGTCTGCTCCCAAGGTATAAGCATAACCAGATTGCTGGGAACATATACACTAGATGGGGTGTGCAAGATGCTGCCGCTTTCCGCAGCTTTGTCTTCCCTTACGCAGACACCCGCGGTGGGAAAGCTCAAGAGCCAAACAGAGAGCTTTCTTGACCGGCAGACCGCAGAAACGCTGCTGCAAACGCCCTCATCCGAGCTCTGAAAGTGGACGTAATAAGGTCCTGAAGTTACGGGAGCGTGGAAGAACTCCGGGGCCCTGTTTGTGCATCCTCAACCATGCGAGCTTCTCTGCTAGGCAGGTAGGTAGGCAGGTAGGTACCTTAGCTACCAAACCCGAAAACACAGATATCGCGGAGGACGGAGAATCATCAGGCCGACTCTCATCTCCCATTGTCGGACCGCTATGGAGATGATGGTTTCCGAAAACATCGCCTTGCATCACTGGTCTCTTCAAGGATTTTCCCCCCTCCCACCAGCATTTTTGTGATTGCGGTACAGATTTGCTTCGGCGCCGAAGCAGACAGAGGGGATCACGACAAATCAGCACTTTGCGCGAGCTCACTGGTTGAGATGGCCCAAAGTACAAGTACATACCTCTCATTAACAAATGCTTCTTCCCAGCCCCCCGTACCCTCCTATTCACTCCACTAGGGTGCGGTTATCCGCAGCCTTGTCTAGGATGTGCTGCCCAGATCGCCGACCAGGATGCGGTCCCGATTACTTCCTCTCCGATCTTGGCTCCGGCGTGTTTCGTTCGCTGCTGGGCAGAAGGGGGAGGCATCATGATCTGCCGCTGTCATCCCCAAGCCGGAGAGGCGCAGAGGCCACGAAACGGTCTGCTGCTGCCAGGGGGGCAAGGAGAGAAGATGACCTAGCTCCTACTGTCGCGGCCTTTTCCGATCCCTTCCGTGAGGCGGTCTGAGTCGATCTCAACGGCGGCCCGCGTCAGACATGTCCACCGGCGCCGGGCACGGCAGTCCCCCATCATCAATCGCCATCTTGCATTTCACTCAAAGCATGATGCTGCCTTAGTATGCCACCCCAGCTTACCCCTGGCGGGCGTCTTGACACGTCTCTAGCGTCTCTTCCCTCCTGTTCTTCTGTTACCGCAGAAATGAAAATGGTGTGCAGGTGCAGCAATATTTTTCAGCTCAGCATGGTGCAGCCGCGCCAGCTACCTACCGTGTCAGGGGCCGCCGCCAGCAAAGCAAGCAAGTCACTGACCGCCTCACGTGTGTGTGTGGGTGGGTGGGATCCCGCACAACACTGCACGACACACACGTTTGCCTGCCTTTTTCTTTCTCTTGTTGATAAAAGGAGAGCGAAGAGAGAGGGAACCAACGCTCGAAACTAAACAAAAGCCTGGCTTGGCGATCTCTTGCCGATCATTGCTCGTTTCTAGCCCGGGACGTTGTATTTGCTTTTCAGGCCAAGGCCGCCTTGGCACAACCCAGTCGCCCTTCCAAATCGGGGGGCCCTGTCTGTGTGATCTGTGATCTACCGGAGGATTTGCGCAGGCTTGCAGCGCGGTCGGCCAGCTTCTGCTCCTTCGGTCCCATTTTGGGCCAGGGGGCTTGGACGGCGATGTTGGACCAGGGGGGGTCGTTGACGGATCATCATTGCCAAGAGGCTAGCCAATCTGCACCGCATCGTGAACTTCGGGGGAGGAGGAGAGCTGGTGGTGGTCTGCATCGTTACCTGTCAGCTGTCAGTGACGAAAAAAGCCGTTGCTTTTCTTCCCCCCTCTTGAGCATTCCAGGTCAGGGCTGACATACCTTAGGTATGTATGTACAGACAGCGCACAGAGCGCCGCCGCCCACGCATATGTTTGTTCTCTAGTGTATGGGTGTATAGTCCGGCCGAGCCTCGCCCCTCTCACACTCACCCTTGTCCCTTGCCGGCGACTTGGATGACGATCCCCTCACTTGGAGCCCAGGGATTGGAGCCAAGGGGCGGAGCGGACGAGGCCAGGGGAATTGCAGATTTCAACATCTTTGCCCCGAGCATTCTTCCCGCGATGAGACAGGCCAGTCTAGATTAGCGTATCATGACGGAGATTTCCGCATCATTTTTTCTTTCCTCATCAGAGGGCGTCATTGATCGTCCGCCATCCACGGCCCTGGGATGGGGGAGGGGGTGCTTTGGTGATGCAATCCCTAGCTTATCATGCCGATCATCCAAAACTTGTAATTGTTGCGCGCCTGCTGGAAGCTGATGTCGAGCCTGAGGAGCAGATAGGTATGCTGACTGGCCCGGGTGGAATCTGTTGATCAATATGACGCAGTGATTTGACAAAAGCCTCAATGGAATGGAAACACATCGCTTGCCGGCGCTGCCGAAACATGAAGCCGACCAAAAACGGAGCATAATCCTTCGTTCTGTGAAGTGGAAGATAGGTGCCCTTCTCTCAGATTGGTAGAAAATCTCCTCGTGATTCAAGACTGTCTCAAGAGTCTTTGCCCGCCTTCTTCTTTGTCTTCCGGCAGTCAGTCAGACACCGGCAAACGGGCGGGGCAAACGTCTCCGCAAGTCGGCTTTGGGTTCATGTGAAGATTGATTCATGAGAGAGCTTCCATTGTGACATCCGGACAAAGGTCCGTCATGAACTAGCTACGTATTGTGCCTGCTCACATAATCACATTATATTTCTTGCCTGTAGGTCCTTTGGACAACATCGACATCTGGCCCCGTCTCACCCACCTTCTTATACTCCTTTGCCACGTTGATCCTCCTATCCACACCCACAAACCACTGACCCTCCCTGTCTTGGAACCACCCGAACGAATAGCATCCCTCGGATGTAGCCAGGCCCAACGCCGTACTGTCTCTGACATCGTGTAGCAAGTGCTCCCCTCGGCACAAGTAGACCATCTTGGAGACAAGAGTGTTCGGCCTCCGAGGCGCAAAGACACGCCGATAGAGTAGAGCGTTGAGGAAGGCGGCAAGTGAGATGAATGGAGCGATATAAGAAAGTATCTGAGCCAACAACGCAGGTCCACGCAGGCATCCGGGCACCGGCGCGTATATCCCTTGTTTTTTGACTATTGCCAAGGTGGAGTCCCAGAGGGGGTTGACGAGTAGCATCATGAGCTGGAGGTTGAGAGATCCGCCCAAAGCCATTAGGCACAAGCTGGAGCCCGCGGTTACTTGAAGGAGGGTCGAACCTGGGGCGTATCTTTGTCTTAATCGGCGTTAGCTATCAGGAGATACCTTTGCTTACTCGTGGCAGCATACCTACCTGATTTGTTTCAGACTGTCATGGCTTCGAACCCGAGGCTCCTTGGACTGACGACGCGCTGTTAACGAGGCAAATGGCAGGATTGCGCTCAAACTGCTTTGTATTCCTGACCAGGATACGGTGTTGATCAGCAGCAGAGCTGTGAACAATGGCCTCAGGATATCCGGGTCGAAATCATCCGGAGGAAAGGTTGCAAGAAGAACAATGGGAAGGTAGACACCCGACACCATCAGTTGCACTGCCCATACAACAGGTGGGAATAGGTTGAATGGGTGTGCGTCGAGACTTGTGTTCCCAATCCCAATGGTCCGGGGGATGGATGCCGTGTTTGGATCTTGAGAGGCCACCAGCTCTAACCGCCGGTGCTGCTTGTAGGAGAGTCGAAACCGGCAATGCTGAAGGGCTTCTTGCAGGGCTCCGCTGTCGGCATGAGATGGGATTTTCTTCAGCATAGAAAGAAACTGGGGGCTGTCGCATAGCAGGCGGGTCAAATCCTCAATGGAGGATATCTCAGATAATAGGCCCGACCGCCTCCTCTGAATAATGGCTAGACCAAGGCCGCACACAAAAGAAAGAAGGCAGAGAACCTCGAGTACGCGACACCATGATTCGTGCATGAGTACCACGACAGTCGTGTCACGACTGTACGCAGGCCAAACCATAGTCCATGCCAGCCGAGTGAGCAGCGGCGACAGTGTGAAAGTCGCAAAGTAAACAACCGAGGCGAGGAAGACGGTCCAATGGTGGGCCATGGCCGATTTCACCGGCACCAAAAAGGTCATCGTATTGATGTACCCCATTGCAAGCGAGCTCTCAAGTCTTGCACCCTCGGGCCGTGATAGCTGGTAGAATGGCTCGAGCTGACAGGTTCTGGCGTAGACGACCTCCCACAGCAGCCCGTCGACAAGAAAAAAAGCCATGGCTGGGTACTGCCAGGAGGCATATGATGACGAGTCGTCAGTCTTGAACTGAAAAGGGGCCGACTTGTGCTTCTGGAGAAGGGTTTCCAAGACAATAAATGGAACAAGTTGAAGAATCGCGAGGATTGCGATGGTGAGAGGCCGAACTGAAACCGGCTTCCAAGTTGCTGCATAGCGGGTTTGTTCATCCTCGGATTCGACATGAGCTGCGTGATCTTGTGTGACTGGGAGTGGCCGTTAGCGTTGACTAGTTCATAGAAGAAAGTTGGTTGGATGACTTGCCCCCTTGAGATTTCTCTTGGGAGTTACTGTTCTCTTCACCTCTGGCCATTGTGGATCTTTCGACTCTTCACCGGATAGAATGTATCAAGAACTGTGTCTGCTATTGACCCAAACATATCCAGGTGTTCTCGGTTGCTTTTGGACATTTCCCAGAAGGAAAGACAGTGTAAGAGCATTTTGAACCCCGCGTCCAAAGCTGCCTTGTCACCCAATATTGTGCCTTGAGCCAGCCACTATTTCCAGCTTTGGTGCACGCCCAGAAATTCTGACAACATCACACCAATCAACAGCCCAGTCACGACTTCAGCTCAACAGCAAGACTACGTACGTGGCTGATAACAGTCTACATAGGTATACGGTAAGGTATCTAGGAAAGCCGAGTTGTCTGGCTGATGAGTGTATACTTGTTTTCCTGCGATGAGCCAATCCAAAAATCGAGTTTCCCCTCAATTGCACCAGCAAGCATAGGGTTTCCCATTAACCAGTATTGCCATCAGTGTCTATTTCTAAGCAGCATCCATCTCGGGGTCAGACAAAGGGGGCAACAGGTGGTGATAAGGGGTAAAAGTGCATTGTAAACATACCTATAACCGTCAATCCGGGCAAAGACAGCTAATTGTGAGAAATGTGATTTCAAATTACCTATATTCGATGTCCCTCTCTTTCTGCATGATGTGTAGCTATGAGGACGAGAGAAATGCTACCTCATTCGTATCCGGTGTATCCATCTGCGAATTTCAGAAAATTGGCTTTTCCGATCATCAAACTCACTCTTCCATTGCTCCTTACGTACCATGGGAAAGCCGACTCAAGCCAGGTACCGGTGACGGCTCGGAGCGGACATGCAACGGCCGCGCAACTACCTAAGGAACCTTGACCAAACAACAGCAGCCCGCATGTGCCAAATTGCAATGCCATTTCTAGAGGCTGTGTCTGTGCCGGACTGAGCCTACCACCTTACACCCTGCAGGAGCTGATCGGAAAGGGGCTCATTCGGGAGAGTCTACAATGCAACCGGCTCGACTTCCACCAACGGGAACAAGCTGGTAACCATCAAAATCATCAACATCCACCGCGCAGATCTGAACATGAGCCAGCATCACCCCGACGGGACTTTTGGCGCAAAGTGCAGCTGTGCGATTTTGGAGTTGCGGGCTTGGTCAAGGAGCGAGCTGACAAGAGGAAGACGGTGACTGGGACGCTTCAGTGGATGGCACCTGAGCTGTTTGACAAGACGGTGGAGTATGGCAAAGTCCACAGAGGCACAGGTACATCCTTGGGACTGAAACAGCAGCCCTACCAGTGTTCTGTCGGGTCTTGTCGCGAGCTTCCAAGAGTGAAAGGCCCAGGGAGGAGACCAAAAGTCGCTGCTTTCCTCTGCCGGTGCAGAAGCCTTTCTTGGCTGTCTAGATCGGAGCCAGCAGGACCATCTACCGCGCGACTTCCAATCCCGACCTCAGAAGCTCTTCCCTGACCGAGGACGAAGACGATGAAGGTACCTACCATCTGCAAGCTATCACCCGACAAAGCCACTTTCACGGGAGGGACCTCCCAAGACGAGGGAACCATCACTTTGCATCCCCACTGAGCAGCCCAAGGCGTTCTGCGATGCACAAGAGGTGGTGGTGCCCGAGGAACAGCTGATATATCACTCTAAGCCGCGAGAGCCGAGTTTATGTTTACCGACACTGGGGATTACCATGGACAGCAGCGCGGGAACCCGGATGAACAGTCCTACGATACCGCAGATTGTTGTTGATGAAGGTGGTGAGGGATCTCCAAAAAGATCCAGGGAGTGAGGCAAGAGAACACCGCCTGCACTGCCGAGGCCTCCAGCGGAGGAGGTGTTGTTGGCGAATGGGGAGAGGGATGCATTGCGGGACACAATGGAGAGATTGTGTTGGATCTCAGGTATGTTCGAGCATTTGGAGTTTACGGAGGCGGTGATGGGGGGATTGTTACCGCTTGGGAAGCGGGGCGCGCAAGGGAGGTGATGCTATAGGTAATAAAGGGACAGATGCTTCATAGGCGTATCAAAAGACCCGAGTGCGAAGAAGCCATCAATGCATTGACCGTCTACCTCTACATCTCACTTCCCGAAAAAAACAACAAATTATCCCCCCATCAACCTCCCCCTCTCACATCATTCCAAAAGCACAAGCAACAGCCGCCACCCCAGCCAACACCGCCGCCCCCCTTATGCTGACCCCCGGAGCAGCACTCTTACACTTGGACAGATCCGTAGCCTTGGCCAAGAACTTGACCTCGGCCGAGTTGGCCCCCGCCAACGCCAGCGAGGGCGTAGCAGCCAAACAATCTCCAACATCAAGAATGCTCTCCAAATTCTCAGGACGAGCAAAGTAATTGTCCAACGCGGTCTCATAAGCAGCCGCAGCTGACGACACCGTGGCAGGGACGAAGCGCACGAGGGCACAGGCGTCGCCTTTGGAGATGACAGAGTTGAGGTAGGTAGAGTACGCGCCTGTCGGGGTGGGAAAGGCTGAGTAGAAGGAGGTGACGAGGGCTCCGCAGGTGGCGCCACCAGAGGTCGTGGTTGAGAGGGTGGTACCCGGTGGTGTGGTGGTGATGATGGTGATGGTTTCGGGGGTGCCGTCGCTGACGACGGCTTGGGACTCTGTGAAGATGGTGCCGGAGGGTTCGGGCTGGCTGTTGTCAGGGATGGGGGTGGTGGATGGGGCGGGGTTTTCGTCCTGGGCTTGACGAAGAATGACTTCGTTGGCTATGGCGCTGGCGGCCAGAGTGGCGGTGAGAAGAAGGTTCTTGGACTGCATCTTGATGATAAGGTAGGTGGGAAGTACCAGGTGTAATAGGTATTTGTCTAAGACTGTGGGTGCCAAATAGGTGAGGTGAAGGGTGCGAGATATTAGAGGTGATGTGAAGCTGGTGCTGTGAAGAAAGAAATCATGACGGTAGGGTGTCCTTATATACCTTATCTTGCAAAACACCTGTGTTTTCATCATGAACAAAGCATTATGATACCTATTTTGAGTTATGGCTCACCTCATCCTCACCTTTCCAAAGATCATATAATGCTCTCCAAATCTGGCATTCCTGCCTCTTCAAAACATCTTCGTAACAGCCTCACTAGGTATTGGCTTAGTTGCGGCTGAATCGTGTCTGATTGGAATCCCCTGAACCAAGCAATCTCATTCCGTCAGCATCAGCTGGCTTTGCCCCAACGCCTCGTCTCATGTTTCTTTGGCATAAATCCGTGTGGAAGGGTAGTTGCTGTTACTCATTCTTTTTTTCTATCTGCCGTTGGGGGCGGGCAAGGAAATAGGAAGAGATGAGGGTGCGAGTGCAAAATCAAATACTATCTACCTTGACTGTATCCTACAGCTTCGTCAAAGGCCTCCTCCAAAATCTTGGGCTGGCCTTGATTTTCTCGAAATTTTGAGATATTGGTGAGTAGCTTCGCAGCCAGGTAAGAATGGATACAACCATTGAGTCAACCGTTGGAATAAGTCTGGGAGACCAGGATCTCTTTGACGTGGTTGACTAGCTCGTGGGTGGATGTGGCACAGGGTCAGACCTGAGCTTATGAAGCAGCTAAATTTGAACGATCCTGCTGACTGAGGCCGTTCTTTCAGCCCTGGGGTTCTCCCAAGTAAACATTGCCGAGACCCCAAGTAAGCCTCTCAAAGAATCACCTGCAGTACACATTAGTGACAATTTTCAGCCAGTTTGATGGACAGGTTTGTCTCTTGTCAGGGAAACCCTAACCCTACCATTTGGCTCGACCCCTTGACTCCCCCTGAACCCCTGAATCCCGTTTTTGGAATCTCTACCGGGAATATTGGTAATTGAACCGAGCCATTAAGTTAGAGATAGCTTGGGTAAAGTTGATTTAGTGTCTTATTTGTTGTGGCATTGGCTGCACTCTTCTGGAGCCGTTGTCATGCTTAGCTACCTACATGTACCCTAGCCCAGGTGTTCCAAATCATTTCCAACCCCCAACTTACTGTGACCGCAGCTTCAACCACCCCTCACACATCGCGTGCCGTGGAACTCTGTATCACCCATCACGGGACGAACCACAGGAAACAGAAACACAACTGATCCGAGATTCCCCGCTCTGTCTCTGTCGAAGTCATGGGGTTTCATGTTCCCGATTTCCTTCGACCATGGCGGGCCACGCGTCATGCAGATGAGCTTCAAGTTGGACGCGAAGGGCTCGAACCCCTGCTGGCTTGTTCACTCTCCAACGAGCCTTATTTACCTCGTTTCAGTGAAAGCAGCGAAGGGATAATGAGAAATATCGACCGTGATGCGAATGCCGTGGTGACAGCTGCCGAGGTATGGTCCACTCTCCTTCTCTCAGTTCTCGTCATCTACCTTCCCTTACCTCTCTGACACCGCCCAGAGCCGCGCCGTCCGCCGTAAAATAGACCTCATCATCCTCCCCCTTCTCATCTGGGTGTATTTCCTCCAAATTCTCGACAAGACCGTCCTGGGCTTCAGCGCCATCTTTGGCCTGCCCGAGGACCTTGACCTGCGCGGCAACCAGTACTCTCTCGTTGGCGCCATCGCTCCGATTGCCCAGCTGGTCATCCAGCCTGTCTCCTCATGGCTTATCGTAAGGGTGCCGCACCGGGTGCTGATGCCAGCCTTGGTTTTGGGATGGGGTCTGGCGCAGACTGCCACTCCGTTTTGCAGGGACTTTGCCCAACTCATGACTGCGAGGTTCTTTTTGGGGGTGTTTGAGGGGGGGTGTTTACCGCTGTTTAGTGTTATTACTGGGCATTGGTACACGAGGGGGGAGCAGCCTTTGAGAGTGGCGGCCTGGTATGGGACCAATGGGTTGGGGACCGTGTTTGCAGCTTTGTTGTCTTTCGGACTAGGGAGGGTCGGGGAGGGACATGGTGGACTTAGAGGGTGGCAATGGTGCGTTTTCAACCCTTCAGGAACCCAAGCCATTGGATCGCTGACCCTGATTCGCGGACATGCGCAGGATCTTCTTGTCCACCGGAATACTCACAGTCATTACCGTCCCTTTTGTTTACCTCAGACTGGACAACGACATTCACTCTGCTCGGTTCCTAACCGAGTCTCAAAAGATTGGGGCGCTGGAAAGAGTAAGAGGCAACCAAACAGGCTCATCCTCCACAAAAGAAAACTGGAAATGGAAGCAAATACGAGAAGTCTTGTTAGACATCAAAACTTGGTTATTCTTGGGAATGGCACTGGGAAACAACCTCGGGGCTCAGGTCACCGTCACGTTTGGTCCCCTCATCCTCTCCGGGCTTGGCTACGATAAATACACCACCACTCTCCTCAACATCCCATTTGGCGTCATGCAATATTTCGTCATCATGTTCACGGCCTGGGGGGCAGTGAGGCTGAGACTTAAAGCCCCGACCTTGTGCGCCATGATCCTCATCATCCTGGCTGGGCTGACGACTCTGCACACTCTTCCTCGCAGTCAGAATCAAACAGGAGGCCTTTTGGCAGGATTCTACTGTCTTGCTTTCATCTTTGGCTGCAACACGCTGGTTGTATCGTGGATACTGGCCAACACAGCAGGTCAGACTAAGCGAGCAGCCGTGATGTCCTTGTACAATGCTGCGTCTTCGACCGGAAATATCGTCGGACCATTGCTGTTTCAGACTCAAGATGCGCCGGCTTACCTGCCTGGTTTGCGAACCACGATGGGGGTGTTTGCTGCCATGCTTGTCATTGTTTTGGTTCAGGTTGGGGTTTTGGCTGGACTCAACAAGAGGCAGGAAAGGATACGAGTGGGAAGAGGAAAGCCGGCGCGGGTAGGGGACGTGAGCGTGGCAAGATCCGATGCAAGAGTGGGAGAAAGAGCATTTGATGACTTGACTGATCTGGAGAACGACGAGTTTGTGTATCTTTACTAGAACAACAGCACGGGAGAGCGGAGGAATGGAGAAGTGTGGGGCACCAAAGGGCCCAGGTTTTCCCAGACCCACACCGGTTTGCTCTTGGGGCTGGATTTTCTTACTGTTTACTTTTTAACCAACAACCAACTACTGTAATACCAATTTGCTTACCATTTTTTGGCCATTTTAGCCTCATTTTCGCAGCCAGTGACTTTCCTAGGTCGCCAGCCCAACAGGTTATGAGCTCTTTTGACGCTTAAATCACCAAGCAAACCGAAGTCGACGCCCTCGTCGACAACCCGACCTCGCAAGGCCGAATACCACACCGGACCTTACGACTTTTCGACCCTTGTCAGGCCAATATCACGCAATTGGACCTTTCGACGGCGATTTTGGAGGCGTTGAGAGAGTTAACCAACTTCCCAATCAACGGAAGCCTGGTTTTAACCCTGACCCTCATCTTGACGAAGAGTTGAAGCGACCGACCACCCCTCACCGATAAGAGTGTGGTTTACGGCGCCAACCTTCTCCTGGCCAAGTTTCCTTGGTTCTGCCAATTTTGCGACCTTTTGGCTGGGAAATTACTGTTTTCCGGCAGCAGTCGAGAACTCTGTCCTGCCTTATCAGGAGACCGATAGCGGAGCAAGCATCTCGCCCTCTGCCCAAGTCAATTCAACCCACTGTTGGCGGCCACAAAGTCAGGTGGCGCCTTTCTTTGAGTCTTTCTTTCGACGTCTTTCTCACAGCGTCTTTCTTACGACTTCTCTTTGACCAGTTTTTCTTTCAAGATGGCTGGCACTAACGTCACCATGGCCCAGCTCTTGGAGCTTGTGAAAGCTATGGGGAATGCTAACACCGTCGCTACGGTTAGGCAACGAACCTTTCAAGCCTTGCCGGCTCTGAACTCAGAGACCGATCTTTCCGGCTGGGAATTTCAGTTAACCCAGTCCCTTATGTACCATGGCTTGGAGGACTACATCAAGGCTAATATACAGCCACCAGCGGAAGAAGGGACACCTGCCTTCGACCAATGGCGTACTAACAACCTGGACATCCAGAACCTGATGATGGCTTCCGTTAAGAAGCCCGAGATCCGACAACGAATTCTTAACCTGGGTTGGAAGGCCGACGGCATTGGTGCCTATGGTCTATACCAGAAGATTATCCAAGCCCTACAGCGCGGCACTTTCGACATCGCTGGTATGCTTTTGGAGGAGTATTTCACTCTCAAGCGTGCCAACTTCGCCTCATTCCAAGCCTACTTCAGCCGGCTCGAGGTCCTTCGCCGTCGTCTTGATACGATGGAAATCAAGATCGGCCACGTGGCTCACCTCTGGGCTGCCCTGAACGGCATCAAGACCGCGTACCCCGATTTGTACGACCGGCTAGCAAGGAAGATGGAAGACGGCACCATGACCTGGTCGCTTCTTTGCCAGGAGTATAGCGCCAAGGCCGTTACGGAGGAGACCACGCCGGCTCACTCCAAAATCACCATCGAGACCACCAAGGCCCCGGCCGCGACTACACCCTCACCTGCCACATCATCAACCTCGACGAAGAAGTGCGACCAATGCACCAAGGGCTTAAGGAAAGGCAACCAGCACTGCATGGGCTGTGGTCGTCACCACCCGAAGGGCAAGGCCTGTTGGTGGTGTGACCCTGACAAGGCTCCAAAGGATTGGGAGCACAGGGTAAAGGCACAAGCGGATAGGCAAGAGAGGCGGCAGAGTACTGGCTCGTCAACAGGGACTCTTCAAGGCCATACTGGTGGCGTCACCAATACTGGGTCTTCGAGGGACCGACCTGCCCACAGTACCCTGATGCTGTCCAACAACTTCGCCAATATATCGCTCCCCACCTACCATGACGATGACCAATCGGATTTTCGTCTCGGCCCCCAGAGGCAGCACTCTCCTCAGTAGATGCCCCTGAAGTCCAACAGGCCGTCGAGGTATTTAAAGACCACGTGTACTACGACTCCGGATGCGCGGATTTCGTATTTAATAAACTGAAGTGGTTCACCGAGCTCCACTTATTACCTGAGGGGAAGGAAAAGAGGTTCCTTTCGTCGTCAGGAGATATCACAAAGTGCAGCTACCAGGGTGCCGCAGCGCTGCAATCTACCCTTTCAAGTGGCCAGGCTGTTACCCTGGAGCTCAAGGAAGCGGTATACCACCCACAGGCGCCCGTCAATCTGATATCGGCGGGCAAGCTACTCGATGAAGGTATCTTCTGGGACTAGGAGAGCCACAACCTGGTCCTTAGAGGTACTAAGTAGGTGGTGTGTGAGTTGACCAGGAATAACAACATATACCAGATGAATACGACGCCCGGCGCCGATTTCAGCAAAGTATCCCTGGCGAAGACTCCCATCAAGGCCGTGATGGTATCTATTAACTACCGGGTAATGCATCGCCGCCTAATGCACGCCAACAAGGACGATATTTACAAGGCTTGTACGCAGGCGGGTATTAAGCTCGTCGGCAATGACTTTTTCTGCGAGCCCTGCGTGATGGTAAAGATAACAGATCAACTAGGCTCATCGACCCCTTCGTAGACCAACAACCCGTTCGACTTTATCCGTATCGACGTCGTCACCCACAAGAACCCTGGATATCTGGGTTACAAGTACTCTATCTAATACGTAGATATGTGGAGTGGCTACAAGTGGATTAACTTCACAGTGGAGAAAAAGCAGGTATTCGATAAGGTCAAGGATTTCGAGACGAAGATCGCGCGCCAAACCGGGCATAAGATCAGCATCATCGGCCTTGACGGCGGTACGGAATTTGCCCAGGGCTCTGGGACCTTTGACGACAGCCGCATGGCCGCCTGGGCCGACCAGGAGGGCATCACCATCCTCAAGACCGTGCCTCACTCACCGTGGATGAATGGAAAGGTGGAGAGGGCCGCGAGGACTACGCTTAACCGCACCAGGGCTATCATGCTGGCCTACAAGGTGCCAGAGAAGCTGTTCCCATTTGTCATGCAGTCTGTGGTTTACGTGGGTAACCTACTGCCCTCGAGGGTCAACGAGGGAGATATCAGTGCTCACGAGAAGTATACCACAAGGCTCAACATGCCCGAGGGCGAGCGGAAGCCGTATATTCGGCACCTACGCTCGTACTTTTGCGACGCGTATTACTACGTCAAGCCGGCCTACCGGGCCAATTCGGATAAGCTCACCGCCAGGGCGGAGAAAGGAAAGCTTATCGGCTACGCAGATATACACGGCAAAATATACTGGGTCTGGAACCCAGTCACTGACAAAGTCGTGAAGGTCAACGCCGTGAAGTTCAACGAAGGCGATTCTTACAGGCCTGACGACGATGAGTATATGGATATTGAGTACGAGGCAGTCTTTACTGATAGTACTATAGCCGAAGAAGAAGATGCCGTCACCAACAGAACGGTATCCTTGGGGAGGAAGGTCACCTTCGATGACAAACCTACCACCATACTGGAGCCCGATCCACAGCAGAGTGCTCCAACAGTTGAAACAGGGAAGGCCAAGGACCCTGGGCAGACCATTCTACCTACTCCGAAAGCTACGCCGTCACCAACACTACCTCCACTACCTGAGGCCTCAGACGTGGAAGACTTTTTCGACGCCGAAGAGGTGGAGGATATACGGTCCGAGGCACCTATCCCACCAAACCATGACCAAGCGCCCTATACCACTGACTCTCCTGCCATGAGAGAGCTCACCTCCCCTGCGAGGCTGATGGGGGGGGAGGAGGGTGAGGCTATGGGGGGGCCTGGTGATGACCAGGCCGATGGCAGGCTACTGGATTCAGGCACGGAAAGCCTGGTCGAAGACTCTGACGACGATTTCGAGCCTGATACAGGCCATATGGAGGAAGCGGTGGCTTCTCCGCCGGCTCAGGAGCGGCCTCGCAGAGCAACAACAAAAAATCAGGGACCAGGCTTCTACAAGAAGCTACAGCAGGGTAAACACCCTTACCAAGGTTTTTTCACAGTACATCTCGATAACCCACGACTACGTGAGGTAGTGGCCTACGCCCTATCCACGGTCAAAATCGACCACCTTC